TTTCATACTTGTCCAGAGAAAACTGTGGTACAATTTAACAACAACAATAAAATTACATTTTATTCAGGAGGACATCCCAAGGTGCTGGACAGTCAGTGTTTCGGACCTGAGATAGGGGCCGGGAAGGAGGTACAATGATTTTGAGCTCAGCAAACAGATGGGAGACAGACTTAAGGAAAGAGACTCCCTCTGCTTTAGCTTTGCACTGGCTATGGAAAGAATCAAACCTTTTAACATTTAAATGTAGTGTTCACAGGCAGTCCATTAAGACCACCCTTATGTTTGATATGTCAGGGATGAGCTGGTATTTCCACAGTTCTTTGCTTATATTAAACATGCACTCACCATCTAAATTAAGGTTGTGTGTCCACCAGTACTGTGTATAGTTTTTAGACTGATTAGGCAACTCTGCTATTAGCTTAGTGCATAGGATTTTCTTTTCATCTCTTTCTTGCCTTGCTACCAAACTACGCGTTGGATCAAGAATGTACCCATTTATTTCTCTTAAGGCTTCAATTGGACTTGCTTCTACTGGAGTAAGAGGACAGTTATTTATTGCACAAGTTGTGGCTGTTCCTAGTCTGGGAGAAAGAATGATTTGAATGAGGTTACAAAGAAAGAGAAGTGGAAAAACATTTCTATTTAAAAAAAACTTGTTCAAAAAACTGGAGTTGGGGCATTAATTCAGTATCCCAAATCCCAGCACAGCAAGCTCCTTATCAACAACAACAACAAAATTACATTTGTATAGCGCCTTTCACGTTGGGAGGATGTCCCAAGGTGCTGGACAGTGTACAGCATTTCAGACCCGAGCTGGGGTCAGGGGGAGAAGGGAGGGGAGGGGAGGTGGCCGATGGCATGGTCGAAGAGGAGTTTCTTGAGGCAGGACTTGAAGGAGGCTAAGGAGGGGGCGAGGCGGAGTGATTGGGAGATGGAATTCCAGAGGTTGGGGGTTGGTAGGGGGTTAGGAAAGGTATGAATGAAGCAATACAAAGGTGCTTCCTATATTTTGCTGGTACAATATGTCACTTTTACCTGCCTACTGAATACAAGCCATCATACATTTTACTGGATACATATTGGGCACAGAGGTTAAAAAAAAGTTGTGACTTGCATCTGAAACACAAAAACAATGGATGATTGGTTGCCACTAATGTTTATAGATATCATCCAGGCTTAGTTGGTAGCATTGTTGCCTCAGAGCCAAAGGGTTGCACATTCACTTCAGGATTCTGAAATCACAGCCTTGGCTGTTACTCCACTGCAATACTGGAAGTGCACCGTATTATTGGAGAGCCATCCTTCAGACTAAGGTCCCATCTGCCTCTTCAGGTGGATGTCAAAGATCCCCCAAATAAAATTGGTCACTCACTTCATGACTGTTTGTGGGACATTGATGTATGCAATTTTGCTGCCTTGCTTGTCTACAAATGCACATTCACTACACTTCACAGTAAAATCCTGTGAAGCTCATTGAGACATCTTGATGATGTGATGATGTGCTATGTCAAATGTAAGTACATAAGTCGTTTCATTATAAGTAAGTTGTACATGCACCCAAGTCCCATTCATTTTCCTACTAAAAATACTTTGATTTCTTTGCACTGATTGGATTTTACAAGTCGGATAAATGGTTAAGTCGTAATGATTTTCTGATCTCAAATAATGGAAATCCTAATAAAATCATCTTCTAACTCATATCACCACAACCACATCTATCAGCTCATTGACAATGTATTGCATGTATAGTGCTAACCAATACATTATCAATGAGTTAATAATAATCCTTGCATTTGATATAACCTTATAATGTCGTTGAGATGTCTCAAAGTGCTTCACAGAATACATTGTAAAGTGAATTGACTATATATTTTGTTGGGGGAAACATGGCATATATAATGATAGATTGAAACATTGCATGAGGCAAATGAGATCATGACCCGCGCCCGCGATTTTATTGCGGTCTCGAAATTTGAACTTTTTTCAGAGAAAATTTATAAAAATTACAGTGTTAATAATTCTTTGTAAGAGTTCATGTTTTATTAAAATAATTCAGTTTTGAAACCTCTTTGCTAGCGACATTCATTGTACATGTTTTTTGCACATGAGGTCATGTACATCGTTATAAAATGACTCGGAATTTGCATAAGTCCTATTAAATGTTATGGTCCTGACTGATACGATCTGTATGTATTTACCTCTATTATTTTTATTACAAAACTGTGTTTTGGGATCAATTGGAATTTCACCCACTTCTGTGTTTACTGCCGTATGGTCTAGTTTAACATCCCAGAAAGTTGTATTGTGTCACAATACTTTTCAGCAAGACAGAGGTCATGTGGCAGCGTTTTCTTGTTACTTTATTATTAAACGGCTTTAAAAATGTGAGGTTGAAACTGATAAAAACATCTTTGTTATTGAATAACGTTTATCTTTTAATGAGCACAATGTTCGAATATAGAACACTGGGATACAGTTTATTTGCACTTGTAAAGAAGGTCTTTAGATCCCGCTGTTTTATGCACATGACTAAATGCCAACTTTCTGACAGGGTCATCTGTCTCTGGTGCCAGCTGAATAAAAATGTTCTTCAAGCAGATGTGGGTTTCTCTTCAGAAGAGAAACCAAAACAAATGACAAAAAGCAGCTCACCGAGTCAGGGAGAAAGAAACGCCTTGAGTTTTAAATCAACATGTTGTTCTCACTCTCTCTCTCTCTGTATTCAAAATATAGTCATTGCGCTTTCCATTTTAAATTTCATTTTAAATGATAAATCCCGTGAAGTGCTTTGAGACATCGTCCCGACATCAAAGGTTCTATGCCAAATGCACTGATTATTATATTATTATTACAGTGTGCTCCCCAGAGTTTGACAGTAAAATTGAAATTCTTTGGCCCTCTCCTCACACCTGTCCCCCTCACATCTGTCCCTCTCCTCACACCTGTCTCCCCTCACACCTGTCTCCCCTCACACCTGTCTCCCCTCACACCTGTCTCCCTCACACCTGTTCCCCTCACACCTGTCTCCCCTCACACCTGTCCCTCTCCTCACACCTGTCTTCTCCTCACACCTGTCCCTCCCCTCATACCTTTCCCTCTCCTCACACCTGTCCCCCCTCACACCTGTCCCTCCCCTCACACCAATCCCTCCCCTCTCACCTGTCTCCCCTCACACCTGTCTCCCCTCACACCTGTCCCTCCCCTCACACCTGTCTCCCCTCACACCTGTCTCTCTTCACACCTGTCTCCCCTCACACCTGTCCCTCCCCTCACACCTGTCTCCCCTCACACCTGTCCCTCCCCTTACACCTGTCCCTCTCCTCACACCTGTCTCCCCTCACACCTGTCCCTCCTCACACCTGTCCTCCCCTCACACCTGTCTCCCCTCACACCTGTCCTCTCCTCACACCTGTCTCCCCTCACACCTGTCTCCCCTCCCACCTGTCTCCCCTCACACCTGTCCCTCCTCACACCTGTCCTCCCCTCACACCTGTCTCCCCTCACACCTGTCCTCTCCTCACACCTATCCTCTCCACAACTGTCCCTCCCCTTACACCTGTCCCTCCCCTCACACCTGTCTCCCCTCACACCTGTCCCTCCCCTCACACCTGTCCCTCCCCTCACACCTGTCTCTCCTCACACCTGCCTCTCCTCACACCTGTCCCCCCTCACACCTGTCCCTCCCCTCACACCAATCCCTCCCCTCACACCTGTCCCTCTCCTCACACCTGTCCCTCTCCTCACACCTGTCCCCCCTCACACCTGTCTCCCCTCACACCTGTCTCTCCTCACACCTGTCTTCTCCTCACACCTGTCCCTCCCGTCATACCTGTCCCTCTCCTCACACCTGTCCCTCCTCACACCTGTCTCCCCTCACACCTGTCCCTCCTCACACCTGTCCCTCCCCTCACACCAATCCCTCCCCTCACACCAGTCCCTCCTCTCACACCTGTCTCCCCTCACACCTGTCCCCCCCTCACACCTGTCCCTCCCCTCACACCTGTCCCTCCTCACACCTGTCCTCCCCTCTTACCTGTCTCCCCTCGCACCTGTCCTCTCCTCACACCTGTCTCCCCTCACACCTGTCCCTCCCCTCACACCTGTCCCTCTCCTCACACCTGTCCCTCTCCTCACACCTGTCCCTCCTCACACCTGTTCTCCCCTCACACCTGTCTCCCCTCACACCTGTCCCTCCCCTTACACCTGTCCCTCTCCTCACACCTGTCTCCCCTCACACCTGTCCCTCCTCACACCTGTCCTCCCCTCACACCTGTCTCCCCTCACACCTGTCTCCCCTCACACCTGTCTCCCCTCACACCTGCCTCCCCTCACACCTGTCCCTCCCCTCACACCTGTCCCTCCCCTCACACCTGTCCCTCCCCTCCCACCTGTCCCTCCCCTCACACCTGTCTCCCCTCACACCTGTCCCTCTCCTCACACCTGTCCCTCCCCTTACGCTCCGCCCCTCTACTGCTGTTCCCATTGTGACGGATCAAAGCGGCGACCTTTCTCATTGGACCTCTGCCGCCTGCGTGTCTGTCTGTCCCCCCCGCCCCGCCCCCAGGCCCCGCCCTCCAGGCCCCGCCCCCCAGGCCCCTGTCCGTGCCGTGCGCGCTTACGTCAGGAGGCTGAATGGCAACATTGTTGTGAGAAGAGGGACCAGGGGTTCTGGAGGCGAGAGCGCGATCCGCTGCACATCCACATCACGGGGGGACTCGTGTAGACAACAGCAGCAGCAGCAGCAGGTGGAGGAGGAGGTGGTTGGCGCGCGCCCCCTCACTCGCTCACCTCCCGGGGAATCGAACGTTCTCTTCGGCATTGCTGCCGGAGGTGGGGATGGGGACGAGCGCGAGGCGAGCGCTGCGGCGTCCGCTTGTAAACACAGGCGGCCACGTGATGTGAGCAGCGCATTGTCTGCGAGAGAGAGAGAGAGAGAGAGGGAGCGCGAGAGAGGAGGTCTCGGGGCAGCATCAGCCGCAGCACAGACCCACATACAGGGAGAGGGGAGGGGAGGGGGGGCGGAGAGGACAGGACAGCGCGGTCCGGTACGGTCCGGTGTGGTGCAGTTGGGACGCTGGACACTCACTTCGACGTGCACGTCTGGGGGCTGTTGGAGGAGGAGAAAGACCACTTGAACCAAGATGGCTGTGTTAGCCCCGAACTTCTAGCGGATGTGGCTGTGCTTTTATTTATTTATATATGTTTATATATATATATATATTATCGGGTTGTTGTTTCTGACTTGTGGGGCATTGCACGATGTCATTCGCTATGGAGGATAACCTGGAGTCGGACTGGGTTGCTGTGCGACCCAACGCTTTCGACGAGAAGGAGAGGCACAAGTTCGTCTTTATCGTGGCTTGGAATGAAGTGGAAGGAAAGTTTGCCATCACCTGTCACAACAGGACTGTTCAGAGGAAGAAGATTGGGGCAAAGGGGGTCCAGGGGTCACAGGAGCCGTCGGACAGCTCTCCTGTAACGGGCAGCAAGGCCGCAGCTCAGGGGGGGACTGTGAGGAAGAGCCCGACTGGAGAGGGAACCGAGCTGAGAAGTCCTATCAGAGAAAGGACCAGCATCCAGAGCCCAACTCGAGGAGACATTGGGGCCAAGAGCCCATCCAAAGGGGACATCAGGGCCAAGAGCCCAGCGCAGGGGGGTATGACAGTCCCTGAGTCAATCTCGGGGGATCCGAAGATGACAGGTCATGGAACAGGCAAGACATGTTTTCTGGACCCTATTCAAGATCATACCCGTGTCCAGGAGTCCACGACTACTGCTGGAGAGGCTGGTGATCAGACACAGGATCAGGAGAGTGTGATGCCGGATGACTGCAGTTGGGCGGGACTGTTCTCCTTCCAGGATTTGAGATTGATTCATCAGCAATTCTGTGCTGTAAATTCCGAACTGGAGCCCTGTTTACCCGCGTTTCCCGAAGAGACGTCGGGGATGTGGTCTGTGCTGTTTGGAGCCACAGAGGTGTTTGAAGGGGAAATGGACTCTCTCTGCTTACAGCTGCAGATGTACCTCGGCCACGCGCTGGACATTTGCGGGTGGAAAATCCTCTCTCACCTACTGTTCACTGAAAGTGATGACCCCGACGAGTATTACGAGAGCCTGAGTGAGCTGAGGCAAAAGGGATACGAAGAGGTGCTCCACAGAGCCAAAAAGCACTTGCAGGAGGTGGGACAACCTAATTATTTTTTGTCGTAAACATGTTCAAACGGTCTTGTGTGACATGCGTCTTAATTGCCCCTATTTTGGAGCGAAACTTGTCCGCATCAGAGAGGTGATGTGCAAGTTCGTGCAGTTTGAACGCGAGTGAACCCTGAGCCCTGTTTTGAAATAATCGTCAATGACCATTATTTCAGAAACCGTGGAATCAATATATATCGGTGTTCACTGCGAGAATTAGATAACTGCTGTTTTTTTGTTTCGTAGGGAAATAATGCAGCTTTGTTAGTACTGTTGCCCCAATTTCCAGTCAAACAGCTGTGGAACCTACATCCTACAATTCAGATTAATTAGCAGAAGGACCTGATTACCTACAGTGTTTAATCCTATTCATTTACCTGCCTACTGAATACAAGCCATCATACATTTTACTGGTACATATTGGGCACAGAGGTTAAAAAAAAGTTGTGACTTGCATCTGAAACACAAAAACAATGGATGATTGGTTGCCACTAATGTTTATAGATATCATCCAGGCTTAGTTGGTAGCATTGTTGCCTCAGAGCCAAAGGGTTGCACATTCACTTCAGGATTCTGAAATCACAGCCTTGGCTGTTACTCCACTGCAATACTGGAAGTGCACCGTATTATTGGAGAGCCATCCTTCAGACTAAGGTCCCATCTGCCTCTTCAGGTGGATGTCAAAGATCCCCCAAATAAAATTGGTCACTCACTTCTGACTGTTTGTGGGACATTGATGTATGCAATTTGCTGCCTTGCTTGTCTACAAATGCACATTCACTACACTTCACAGTAAAATCCTGTGAAGCTCATTGAGACATCTTGATGATGTGATGATGTGCTATGTCAAATGTAAGTACATAAGTCGTTTCATTATAAGTAAGTTGTACATGCACCCAAGTCCCATTCATTTTCCTACTAAAAATACTTTGATTTCTTTGCACTGATTGGATTTTACAAGTCGGATAAATGGTTAAGTCGTAATGATTTTCTGATCTCAAATAATGGAAATCCTAATAAAATCATCTTCTAACTCATATCACCACAACCACATCTATCAGCTCATTGACAATGTATTGCATGTATAGTGCTAACCAATACATTATCAATGAGTTAATAATAATCCTTGCATTTGATATAACCTTATAATGTCGTTGAGATGTCTCAAAGTGCTTCACAGAATACATTGTAAAGTGAATTGACTATATATTTTGTTGGGGGAAACATGGCATATATAATGATAGATTGAAACATTGCATGAGGCAAATGAGATCATGACCCGCGCCCGCGATTTTATTGCGGTCTCGAAATTTGAACTTTTTTCAGAGAAAATTTATAAAAATTACAGTGTTAATAATTCTTTGTAAGAGTTCATGTTTTATTAAAATAATTCAGTTTTGAAACCTCTTTGCTAGCGACATTCATTGTACATGTTTTTTGCACATGAGGTCATGTACATCGTTATAAAATGACTCGGAATTTGCATAAGTCCTATTAAATGTTATGGTCCTGACTGATACGATCTGTATGTATTTACCTCTATTATTTTTATTACAAAACTGTGTTTTGGGATCAATTGGAATTTCACCCACTTCTGTGTTTACTGCCGTATGGTCTAGTTTAACATCCCAGAAAGTTGTATTGTGTCACAATACTTTTCAGCAAGACAGAGGTCATGTGGCAGCGTTTTCTTGTTACTTTATTATTAAACGGCTTTAAAAATGTAGGTTGAAACTGATAAAAACATCTTTGTTATTGAATAACGTTTATTTTTAATGAGCACAATGTTCGAATATAGAACACTGGGATACAGTTTATTTGCACTTGTAAAGAAGGTCTTTAGATCCCGCTGTTTTATGCACATGACTAAATGCCAACTTTCTGACAGGGTCATCTGTCTCTGGTGCCAGCTGAATAAAAATGTTCTTCAAGCAGATGTGGGTTTCTCTTCAGAAGAGAAACCAAAACAAATGACAAAAAGCAGCTCACCGAGTCAGGGAGAAAGAAACGCCTTGAGTTTTAAATCAACATGTTGTTCTCACTCTCTCTCTCTCTGTATTCAAAATATAGTCATTGCGCTTTCCATTTTAAATTTCATTTTAAATGATAAATCCCGTGAAGTGCTTTGAGACATCGTCCCGACATCAAAGGTTCTATGCCAAATGCACTGATTATTATATTATTATTACAGTGTGCTCCCCAGAGTTTGACAGTAAAATTGAAATTCTTTGGCCCTCTCCTCACACCTGTCTCCCCTCACATCTGTCCCTCTCCTCACACCTGTCTCCCCTCACACCTGTCTCCCCTCACACCTGTCTCCCCTCACACCTGTCTCCGCTCACACCTGTTTCCCCTCACACCTGTCTCCCCTCACACCTGTCCCTCTCCTCACACCTGTCTTCTCCTCACACCTGTCCCTCCCCTCATACCTTTCCCTCTCCTCACACCTGTCCCCCCTCACACCTGTCCCTCCCCTCACACCAATCCCTCCCCTCTCACCTGTCTCCCCTCACACCTGTCTCCCCTCACACCTGTCCCTCCCCTCACACCTGTCTCCCCTCACACCTGTCTCTCTTCACACCTGTCTCCCCTCACACCTGTCCCTCCCCTCACACCTGTCTCCCCTCACACCTGTCCCTCCCCTTACACCTGTCCCTCTCCTCACACCTGTCTCCCCTCACACCTGTCCCTCCTCACACCTGTCCTCCCTCACACCTGTCTCCCCTCACACCTGTCCTCTCCTCACACCTGTCTCCCCTCACACCTGTCTCCCCTCCCACCTGTCTCCCCTCACACCTGTCCCTCCTCACACCTGTCCCTCCTCACACCTGTCTCCCCTCACACCTGTCCTCTCCTCACACCTATCCTCTCCACAACTGTCCCTCCCCTTACACCTGTCCCTCCCCTCACACCTGTCTCCCCTCACACCTGTCCCTCCCCTCACACCTGTCCCTCCCCTCACACCTGTCTCTCCTCACACCTGCCTCTCCTCACACCTGTCCCCCCTCACACCTGTCCCTCCCCTCACACCAATCCCTCCCCTCACACCTGTCCCTCTCCTCACACCTGTCCCTCTCCTCACACCTGTCCCCCCTCACACCTGTCTCCCCTCACACCTGTCTCTCCTCACACCTGTCTTCTCCTCACACCTGTCCCTCCCGTCATACCTGTCCCTCTCCTCACACCTGTCCCTCCTCACACCTGTCTCCCCTCACACCTGTCCCTCCTCACACCTGTCCCTCCCCTCACACCAATCCCTCCCCTCACACCAGTCCCTCCTCTCACACCTGTCTCCCCTCACACCTGTCCCTCCCCTCACACCTGTCCTCCCCTCACACCTGTCCCTCCTCACACCTGTCCTCCCCTCTTACCTGTCTCCCCTCGCACCTGTCCTCTCCTCGCAATGGAGGAGGATAGAGTGGTCGACAAAGTCAAAGGCAGCAGAGAGGTCGAGCAGGACAAAGAGGCAGAGAGAGCTCTGGTCATAGATGGACAGAATATCATAGTGACTTTGATCAGCATGCAAACCCGATTGGAGGGGTTCATACAGGGAATGGCAGGAGAGGAAAAAGCGAAGCTGGGTTGGAACAATTTGTTCCAGGGCCTTGGAGAGGAAAGGGGGGTTGGAGATGAAACGATAGCTGGAGAGTAGTGAAGGGTCCAGGGAAAGTTTTTTGAGGATTGGGGTGATGACACCTGTTTTTAGCGGGATGGGAACAGTGCCAGTGGATAAGAAGAGATTGATGTTGGTTAAAAGAGGAGCCAGGAGGTGGAGCCGGGAGGTAAGGAGAGGGGTAGAGATAGGGTCAAGGGAGCAGTGAGATGTCTCGAAGATGTGATAAGGTGCTATATCAAATAATAATAATAATACTTACATACTTGCTATGTCATGTCTTCAAGATGTCTCCAAGTGCTTCACAGCATATACTGTAAAGGGAATTGACTGTATATTTTGTGGGCAAAACGCGGTAACCAATTGAGCACAGCAGTGTCCCACAAACAGTCATGGATTGAAGTGACCAATTTATTGTTATTATTTTTTTAAGGAATTATTACACCCAGAAAAGCGATCCGCCAATCGACTATCAACCGGGTTCCTACTTACAGAGGAGTGTGGAGTAAGGAAACTTGGCCAACATTTTGCCTTGCTGGGAATCAAAAGCATGTCTCTCGCTTGCGAGACAAGAGCTCTAACCACTGAGCCACAAGGATTCCACAACTCCACAAATAAGGATTATTATTATTATTTATTTTCTATATGTCTCCTCAAGACTGGTTTACCTTGTGGTTTTTACAGGGAGGTATCTGTGGAAACTTCACACTGAACCACCAAAAGAAAAGCATGAATCAGATGTGAGTAACAAAGTGATTTGAGCTGGAGCACAGCTGCTGATACCTCTAAGAATGTGATTTTGCCAGGATATTGATACTCGCAGCCTCAGTTTCAAAGCCGATAATGCAATTTAGTTCTTCCTCCTCTCAAATAATGGTTGCTTAAAATCTATGAGGGAATGGGATTCAAAAGATAATTTTAATGTTGTGAGAGATATAAAACTAATTTTAGTTGGCAGAATGAGTTCTAAGCATGCATTTAACACACAGCACTTTTTAGCTCTTTTAACAATGTGAGATTGTTGTGTCAGGTGAAATTTAAATTGTGGTTCCAGTATCTTGGAACGAATGTTACTTTCATGCATTTGGATTAAGAGATCTGACTGCCAAAGTGTAAGTAAAAATCATTGCTCACAATTTTGAAATAATCTGATTTCAATCAATTACTTAGAGTTGCTCGGTCCTGAAGTGTATTTTGTAACTTTATCAAACCACTGCATCCTGCTAAAGGTCACTAGTCCTGAAGATTATCTCAGTTATTTTCATACTTGTCCAGAGAAAACTGGTACAATTTAACAACAACAATAAAATTACATTTTATTCAGGAGGACATCCCAAGGTGCTGGACAGTCAGTGTTTCGGACCTGAGATAGGGGCCGGGAAGGAGGTACAATGATTTTGAGCTCAGCAAACAGATGGGAGACAGACTTAAGGAAAGAGACTCCCTCTGCTTTAGCTTTGCACTGGCTATGGAAAGAATCAAACCTTTTAACATTTAAATGTAGTGTTCACAGGCAGTCCATTAAGACCACCCTTATGTTTGATATGTCAGGGATGAGCTGGTATTTCCACAGTTCTTTGCTTATATTAAACATGCACTCACCATCTAAATTAAGGTTGTGTGTCCACCAGTACTGTGTATAGTTTTTAGACTGATTAGGCAACTCTGCTATTAGCTTAGTGCATAGGATTTTCTTTTCATCTCTTTCTTGCCTTGCTACCAAACTACGCGTTGGATCAAGAATGTACCCATTTATTTCTCTTAAGGCTTCAATTGGACTTGCTTCTACTGGAGTAAGAGGACAGTTATTTATTGCACAAGTTGTGGCTGTTCCTAGTCTGGGAGAAAGAATGATTTGAATGAGGTTACAAAGAAAGAGAAGTGGAAAAACATTTCTATTTAAAAAAAACTTGTTCAAAAAACTGGAGTTGGGGCATTAATTCAGTATCCCAAATCCCAGCACAGCAAGCTCCTTATCAACAACAACAACAAAATTACATTTGTATAGCGCCTTTCACGTTGGGAGGATGTCCCAAGGTGCTGGACAGTGTACAGCATTTCAGACCCGAGCTGGGGTCAGGGGGAGAAGGGAGGGGAGGGGAGGTGGCCGATGGCATGGTCGAAGAGGAGTTTCTTGAGGCAGGACTTGAAGGAGGCTAAGGAGGGGACGAGGTGGAGTGATTGGGAGATGGAATTCCAGAGGTTGGGGGTTGGTAGGGGGTTAGGAAAGGTATGAATGAAGCAACACAAAGGTGCTTCCTATATTTTGCTGGTACAATATGTCACTTTTACCTGCCTACTGAATACAAGCCATCATACATTTTACTGGGTACATATTGGGCACAGAGGTTAAAAAAAAGTTGTGACTTGCATCTGAAACACAAAAACAATGGATGATTGGTTGCCACTAATGTTTATAGATATCATCCAGGCTTAGTTGGTAGCATTGTTGCCTCAGAGCCAAAGGGTTGCACATTCACTTCAGGATTCTGAAATCACAGCCTTGGCTGTTACTCCACTGCAATACTGGAAGTGCACCGTATTATTGGAGAGCCATCCTTCAGACTAAGGTCCCATCTGCCTCTTCAGGTGGATGTCAAAGACCCCCCAAATAAAATTGGTCACTCACTTCTTGACTGTTTGTGGGACATTGATGTATGCAAATTTGCTGCCTTGCTTGTCTACAAATGCACATTCACTACACTTCACAGTAAAATCCTGTGAAGCTCATTGAGACATCTTGATGATGTGATGATGTGCTATGTCAAATGTAAGTACATAAGTCGTTTCATTATAAGTAAGTTGTACATGCACCCAAGTCCCATTCATTTTCCTACTAAAAATACTTTGATTTCTTTGCACTGATTGGATTTTACAAGTCGGATAAATGGTTAAGTCGTAATGATTTTCTGATCTCAAATAATGGAAATCCTAATAAAATCATCTTCTAACTCATATCACCACAACCACATCTATCAGCTCATTGACAATGTATTGCATGTATAGTGCTAACCAATACATTATCAATGAGTTAATAATAATCCTTGCATTTGATATAACCTTATAATGTCGTTGAGATGTCTCAAAGTGCTTCACAGAATACATTGTAAAGTGAATTGACTATATATTTTGTTGGGGGAAACATGGCATATATAATGATAGATTGAAACATTGCATGAGGCAAATGAGATCATGACCCGCGCCCGCGATTTTATTGCGGTCTCGAAATTTGAACTTTTTTCAGAGAAAATTTATAAAAATTACAGTGTTAATAATTCTTTGTAAGAGTTCATGTTTTATTAAAATAATTCAGTTTTGAAACCTCTTTGCTAGCGACATTCATTGTACATGTTTTTTGCACATGAGGTCATGTACATCGTTATAAAATGACTCGGAATTTGCATAAGTCCTATTAAATGTTATGGTCCTGACTGATACGATCTGTATGTATTTACCTCTATTATTTTTATTACAAAACTGTGTTTTGGGATCAATTGGAATTTCACCCACTTCTGTGTTTACTGCCGTATGGTCTAGTTTAACATCCCAGAAAGTTGTACTGTGTCACAATACTTTTCAGCAAGACAGAGGTCATGTGGCAGCGTTTTCTTGTTACTTTATTATTAAACGGCTTTAAAAATGTCAGGTTGAAACTGATAAAAACATCTTTGTTATTGAATAACGTTTATCTTCTAATGAGCACAATGTTCGAATATAGAACACTGGGATACAGTTTATTTGCACTTGTAAAGAAGGTCTTTAGATCCCGCTGTTTTATGCACATGACTAAATGCCAACTTTCTGACAGGGTCATCTGTCTCTGGTGCCAGCTGAATAAAAATGTTCTTCAAGCAGATGTGGGTTTCTCTTCAGAAGAGAAACCAAAACAAATGACAAAAAGCAGCTCACCGAGTCAGGGAGAAAGAAACGCCTTGAGTTTTAAATCAACATGTTGTTCTCACTCTCTCTCTCTCTGTATTCAAAATATAGTCATTGCGCTTTCCATTTTAAATTTCATTTTAAATGATAAATCCCGTGAAGTGCTTTGAGACATCGTCCCGACATCAAAGGTTCTATGCCAAATGCACTGATTATTATATTATTATTACAGTGTGCTCCCCAGAGTTTGACAGTAAAATTGAAATTCTTTGGCCCTCTCCTCACACCTGTCCCCCCTCACACCTGTCCCTCTCCTCACACCTGTCTCCCCTCACACCTGTCTCCCCTCACACCTGTCTCCCCTCACACCTGTCCCTCTCCTCACACCTGTCTTCTCCTCACACCTGTCCCTCCCCTCATACCTTTCCCTCTCCTCACACCTGTCCCCCCTCACACCTGTCCCTCCCCTCACACCAATCCCTCCCCTCACACCTGTCCCTCTCCTCACACCTGTCCCCCCTCACACCTGTCCCTCCCCTCACACCAATCCCTCCCCTCTCACCTGTCTCCCCTCACACCTGTCTCCCCTCACACCTGTCCCTCCCCTCACACCTGTCTCCCCTCACACCTGTCTCTCTTCACACCTGTCTCCCCTCACACCTGTCCCTCCCCTCACACCTGTCTCCCCTCACACCTGTCCCTCCCCTTACACCTGTCCCTCTCCTCACACCTGTCTCCCCTCACACCTGTCCCTCCTCACACCTGTCCTCTCCTCACACCTGTCTCCCCTCACACCTGTCTCCCCTCACACCTGTCTCCCCTCACACCTGTCTCCCCTCACACCTGTCTCCCCTCACACCTGTCCCTCCCCTCACACCTGTCTCTCCTCACACCTGTCTCCCCTCACACCTATCCCTCCCCTCACACCTGTCCCTCCCCTCACACCTGTCCCTCTCCTCACACCTGTCTCCCCTCACACCTGTCCCCCTCACACCTGTCTCCCTCACACCTGTCCTCTCCTCACACCTATCCCTCCACACTGTCCTCCCTTACACCTGTCCCTCCCCTCACACCTGTCCCTCCCCTCACACCTGTCTCTCCTCACACCTGTCTCTCCTCACACCTGTCCCCCCTCACACCTGTCCCTCCCCTCACACCTGTCCCTCCCCTCACACCTGTCCCTCTCCTCACACCTGTCCCTCTCCTCACACCTGTCCCTCCTCACACCTGTTCTCCCCTCACACCTGTCTCCCCTCACACCTGTCCTCTCCTCACACCTGTCCTCTCCACACCTGTCCCTCCCCTACACCTGTCCCTCCCTCACACCTGTCTCCCCTCACACCTGTCCCTCCTCACACCTGTCCTCCCCTCACACCTGTCTCCCCTCACACCTGTCTCCCCTCACACCTATCCTCTCCACACCTGTCCACCCCTTACACCTGTCCCTCTCCTCACACCTGTCTCCCCTCACACCTGTCTCCCTCCACCTATCCTCTCCACACCTGTCCACCCCTTACACCTGTCCCTCTCCTCACACCTGTCTCCCCTTACACCTGTCCCTCCCCTTACACCTGTCTCCCCTCACACCTGCCTCCCCTCACACCTGTCCCTCCCCTCACACCTGTCCCTCCCCTCACACCTGTCCCTCTCCTCACACCTGTCCCTCCCCTCACACCTGTCTCCCCTCCCACCTGTCCCTCCCCCCCCTGTCCCCTCCCCCACCTGTCCTCCCCTCCACCTGCCTCCCCTCCACCTGTCCCTCCCCTCACACCTGTCTCCCCTCACACCTGTCCCTCCCTCCACCTGTCCCTCCCCTCACACCTGTCTCCCCTCACACTGTCCCTCTCCTCACACCTGTCCCTCCCCTTACGCTCCGCCCCTCTACTGCTGTTCCCATTGTGACGGATCAAAGCGGCGACCTTTCTCATTGGACCTCTGCCGCCTGCGTGTCTGTCTGTCCCCCCCGCCCCCGCCCCCAGGCCCCGCCCTCCAGGCCCCGCCCCCCAGGCCCCTGTCCGTGCCGTGCGCGCTTACGTCAGGAGGCTGAATGGCAACATTGTTGTGAGAAGAGGGACCAGGGGTTCTGGAGGCGAGAGCGCGATCCGCTGCACATCCACATCACGGGGGGAATCGTGTAGACAACAGCAGCAGCAGCAGGTGGAGGAGGAGGAGGAGGTGGTTGGCGCGCGCCCCCTCACTCGCTCACCTCCCGGGGAATCGAACGTTCTCTTCGGCATTGCTGCCGGAGGTGGGGATGGGGACGAGCGCGAGGCGAGCGCTGCGGCGTCCGCTTGTAAACACAGGCGGCCACGTGATGTGAGCAGCGCATTGTCTGCGAGAGAGAGAGAGAGAGAGAGGGAGCGCGAGAGAGGAGGTCTCGGGGCAGCATCAGCCGCAGCACAGACCCACACACAGGGAGAGGGGAGGGGAGGGGGGGCGGAGAGGACAGGACAGCGCGGTCCGGTACGGTCCGGTGTGGTGCAGTTGGGACGCTGGACACTCACTTCGACGTGCACGTCTGGGGGCTGTTGGAGGAGGAGAAAGACCACTTGAACCAAGATGGCTGTGTTAGCCCCGAACTTCTAGCGGATGTGGCTGTGCTTTTATTTATTTATATATGTTTTATATATATATATATATTATCGGGTTGTTGTTTCTGACTTGTGGGGCATTGCACGATGTCATTCGCTATGGAGGATAACCTGGAGTCGGACTGGGTTGCTGTGCGACCCAACGCTTTCGACGAGAAGGAGAGGCACAAGTTCGTCTTTATCGTGGCTTGGAATGAAGTGGAAGGAAAGTTTGCCATCACCTGTCACAACAGGACTGTTCAGAGGAAGAAGATTGGGGCAAAGGGGGTCCAGGGGTCACAGGAGCCGTCGGACAGCTCTCCTGTAACGGGCAGCAAGGCCGCAGCTCAGGGGGGGACTGTGAGGAAGAGCCCGACTGGAGAGGGAACCGAGCTGAGAAGTCCTATCAGAGAAAGGACCAGCATCCAGAGCCCAACTCGAGGAGACATTGGGGCCAAGAGCCCATCCAAAGGGGACATCAGGGCCAAGAGCCCAGCGCAGGGGGGTATGACAGTCCCTGAGTCAATCTCGGGGGATCCGAAGATGACAGGTCATGGAACAGGCAAGACATGTTTTCTGGACCCTATTCAAGATCATACCCGTGTCCAGGAGTCCACGACTACTGCTGGAGAGGCTGGTGATCAGACACAGGATCAGGAGAGTGTGATGCCGGATGACTGCAGTTGGGCGGGACTGTTCTCCTTCCAGGATTTGAGATTGATTCATCAGCAATTCTGTGCTGTAAATTCCGAACTGGAGCCCTGTTTACCCGCGTTTCCCGAAGAGACGTCGGGGATGTGGTCTGTGCTGTTTGGAGCCACAGAGGTGTTTGAAGGGGAAATGGACTCTCTCTGCTTACAGCTGCAGATGTACCTCGGCCACGCGCTGGACATTTGCGGGTGGAAAATCCTCTCTCACCTACTGTTCACTGAAAGTGATGACCCCGACGAGTATTACGAGAGCCTGAGTGAGCTGAGGCAAAAGGGATACGAAGAGGTGCTCCACAGAGCCAAAAAGCACTTGCAGGAGGTGGGACAACCTAATTATTTTTTGTCGTAAACATGTTCAAACGGTCTTGTGTGACATGCGTCTTAATTGCCCCTATTTTGGAGCGAAACTTGTCCGCATCAGAGAGGTGATGTGCAAGTTCGTGCAGTTTGAACGCGAGTGAACCCTGAGCCCTGTTTTGAAATAATCGTCAATGACCATTATTTCAGAAACCGTGGAATCATATATATCGGTGTTCACTGCGAGAATTAGATAACTGCTGTTTTTTTGTTTCGTAGGGAAATAATGCAGCTTTGTTAGTACTGTTGCCCCAATTTCCAGTCAAACAGCTGTGGAACCTACATCCTACAATTCAGATTAATTAGCAGAAGGACCTGATTACCTACAGTGTTTAATCCTATTCATAAAGCTCGGATCCTAATCCTACAGTAAATGGGAGTCAAGGTACTGGATAGTAAACCAGAGCTTTGCAAACCTTTACATCTCTTTGTTTGAGCCTCTTTCAACCTTCCATCTGTTGCTTTACACGATGGAAATGTGATCTGCGAGAGAGTGGGAGGGGAATGACCGTAAACATGAACTCCACGTCATAGAATAGCTGAGGGTTGGCCTTAACTAGTAAAACAAGCTGTGTGTGGCTTGGTCCACATTCATCTGACTCAAGAGTTTTGTTAAACTTTTGTTTAAATCCAGGTTCTAAGGAATACAACATCAAATGTAAAACCTCACAACTTGACCCACAAAATCACACCACTGTCCCATTCTATTTACTTTGTTGGTTTGGGGCTGCAGAGAAGATATCTGTGAAATTTACTTCTGTGTATACTTTATGGCTGATAAGATGTCAAAGAAATGTCTGCGGATATACACAAAATCTCTTTGGAGACTGCTTCTCTCCCTCTTGAACTCAGTTACATGCACTATTTGCTATCTGAGATATCAGACAGACAGGAAACCTGCTCCTCATCCTGTGTAAGTGACTGGCCACTAACTACCTGGTGGATCAGTAGAGATTGACTCATCCTTTTTATTTTTTTGAAAAAACTTCCTCTGAAGAAATGGCACTGCAATTCCCCCCGACTGCCTTTGCCAATGGTAATATGTATCCCTCAGCTTGTTGCAGTGTTCAGTGCACTAATGAACTGTGGCACTGGTCCACATTCATCTGACTCAGGTTTTCTTTTGGCGGACCCAAGTATTCAGTGCATTGGTACATTCTTTGCATTAAAATGTGTACTTTTTAATCTGTGTGTCAGTAAGCCCCTGTTTTTAATATATATATCAACTTTGTTTTAACAACTAGAATCAAGTGTTTGCCTTGCTTGTTATGTATTGTACTTATGTGGGTGTCTATCTCTCTGTCTTCTTTGCTTCCTCCTTTTTGTTTCTTCTTTTCCCCCCTCTTAAAAGTAGCCAAATAATGAAAAACAATGGCTCTTCTGATTTTTAGCCGTATTAGACAATCTCAATACCAACTTTTGTCCCAATTGGTTCCACCACACCACTGGGAAGTATTCCCTATGTTTGTCATTCGTTGAAAGTGTATGTAAACATTCAACTTGTATCCCAGATTTGCTAGTATCTTTAAGTTTTAATTTCCTCTTCTGTTGAGGACAATGGGCACTGCATCTTTTCCAGTTGTTTCTTTGTTGTATATAACTTTTGTTACATACAATCACTATTGTTAAAATTGTGGAGGGGGGTATTTCCTTTGATATTCATTTGTTATAGAAACTCATATTAAGTACCTCATAGATTGTAGTTTATTCACTTGCATTTTTGCAAGAGATCAGAATCTTTAAAATATGCAATTGCTGACTCAAGAATGTGAGTACAATATGTGGCCTTTGCTATTAGAAATGCCAAAAAGCTACACATGCAAGATTTACTCCTCAAAACTATTTGTTGTGTCTTGCAGTGAACAGTAAGAGTCCGAGTTGAGAACCTATTGTTAAAGTTTAAGCATGTAAGCAAGACCTTTGATAAGGTCGACCTAACTTATAGTAAATTATGTTTCTCTTGTTCTGCTTAATCCTACATAGACTGGTTTTAGTTGTGCAAATGGGGGAGGTGATGACTGGGATTATCGGAGGTCTTCTGGAGTTCTCCTTTCCTATTTCTTGTACAAGCTGTCCTATGCTCTCAGTCAGATCACAGAAAAGCATCCATTTGATATGGAAACTCGGGTAAAGGACCTCATAGATATATTGATTGAACTTGTATGTATTTTGTACTTGTAGTTCATCCATTTGCAGTGACAGTGATATTGATAGTCGAATAAGATATGAGAAAGGATGAGGTCAGTTAGGGTTCTAACCTATTATGCAATTGTCTACTGTGTTTCGCCCACAAAATATACAGTCAATTCACTTTACAGTATATTCTGTGAAGTGCTTTGAGACATATCAAAGACGTGATAAGGCGCTATATCAAATGCAAGGATTACTGTTTTTATTCATTATTATACAGCTTGGAGTGGTCTTTTTTAGAGGTATAAAAGATGTTTAACAGGATACAGAAATAATAACAACAAGATTTCATTTATAGAGCGCCTTTCACGTTGGGAGGACGTCCCAAGGCGCTGGACAGTTGGGTCAGGACCCGAGCAGGGGGGAAATGGTCAGGGTGAGGGGAGGGAAGGGAGGGAGCGAAGAGGGGGTAGAGAGTCGAGAGGGGAGCTGAAGGCACGGTTGAAGAGAAAGGTCTTGAGACCGGCCTTGAAGGAGGAAAGGGAGGAGGCGGCGAAGGCACTGGGGGATGGAGTTCCAGAGCCTGGGGCTGAGAGGCTGAAGGCCCGGCCACCGATGGTAGGGCGGTTGGGGCGGAGGATGTGGAGCAGACCGGAGCCAGAGGAACGGAGGGTACTGGCAGGTAAGTAGGGGGATAGTAGGTCGGAGAGGTAGGAGGGAGCAAGGCCGTGAATGGCCTTGTAGGTGAGGATGAGGATCTTGAATTTGATCCTCTGGGGGATGGGGAGCCAGTGGAGGCGAGCGAGGGTGGGAGTGATGTGGTCCCGAAGCCTGGTGCGGGACAGTACACGAGCTGCAGAGTTCTGAATGACCTGCAGCTTGTGGAGGGAGGTGCCGGGAAGGCCGACGAGGAGAGAGTTCCCATAGTCCAGCCTTGAGGTGATAAAGGCGTGGACCAGAGTTTCAGCAATTAAAAAATCATCTTCAGATACACCAAGGTAGGAAGACACAGGTTTCGGGTTATGAAAAGCAATTTTAGGCTTGACCCTAGAAAGTATTTCAGTATATAGAGGATAATTCTCTATAGAGTCCTGTAGCTTAGTGGTTAGTGCACTCACTTTGCAAGCGAGAGACCTGTGTTTGATTCCCGGCATGGCGAAACCTGGGGCAAGTTTCCTTACTCCACACGCCTGATAATAATCCCTCAAGAAAAAAAACCAATAATAAATTGGTCATTTCAATCCACGACTCTTTGTGGGACACTGCTGTGTGCAATTGGCTGCCGCGTTTCGCCCACAAATATACAGTCAATTCACTTTACAGTCTATTCTGTGAAGCACTTTGAGATGTCAAGAAGACGTGAAAAGCGCTATATCAAATGCAAGGCTTATTATTGTAATTAACAGCTGGAATGGTTTACCATGAAAGGTGGCTGAGGCCAGGATACTGTATCCATTTAAGAGTATGTTGTCCTAGCCTCAGCTTGATATAATAATCCTTGCATTTGATATGGTGCTCTATCAGGTTGTCGAGGCATCTCAAAGTGCTTCACAGGTGGATATTCTAGAAGGGTGAGATCAACTGAACCGATTGGTCTTCTCCAAACAAATTGATCTAGTGAAATTAAAATATATTTACCATTTCCTTAGAAGAATAATCCCCTGAGTCCAAGCCTCCGTTTTCAAGTATTGTATTTCAATGCATGAAACCTAATCTCTTAAATACTCCAGCAATCAAACTGGAAATGTATAATGTTCAGAGTGTAATGGACAGTCACTGGAGGCGGGGACTCGGCCCACGCAGCTTCTGTTAATACTGCAAGACAAAGCTCTAATGGTAGGGTGGTCCAAGCTGGACAAGCAACGGGAAAATTTGCTAGACAGTGATATCAATGACAAGCTATGCAGTTTTAGCTGGTTAGGCTCCAGCTGTACCCCAGTGCACACTCTGGGCTCTTGCCAACCTGCACCTAATACTCTCTGAAATTAGGTAAGGAGGATACATCACTCTAGGGAGAGAATGCTCATTCCATTCAATAAATATCTCTGAAATTTCTATGTAGAGGTGGGATGCATTGAACTCTGTTAAGTTTTGGATACTCTTAAGCATGGTGATAGGCTTCCGCACATGTCAGACACCCGGCTGACCAAAAAATATGCTTTTTGCTTAATATCTACCTGTAGTAAAGCAAAGGATCTTTTTACTGCTAAAAGAGTTCTTTATTTCTAATTTGCTTTACTAACTTCAACCCAGATTTGACTGATTTGCTAGCTGGTAAGATTTCTTCCAATTTCATGACTTTGTGAAACCTTTGATAATTAAACTCTGTCTTTCTTTCAGTGGAAGTATGGAATATATTCATAACACCTATCAGTAATATATAATAATCCCAGCATTTAGAGTACTGTACTGCTGAGACTCTATATTCCCCAGTGTTTGTGTAGCTGGAGAACCCAACTGATTGATGCCAGATACAGTGGGAGGCCCATGTAGTTGCATTCAGCATTGCATTTGCATGATCTGCTTGCTTGTTGATTAACATTCAACTGAAAACTACTGTACCACACATTTGCCAAGTTTCCACATTGTTGATATAGGATGGGGAGTAGGCTGCTCAAGCTTGCCCTACGATTTTAGTTCATGGCTGCTCTTTTTTTCCTTTTCAAAACCCTTATTTTCATATATCCATTTACTTATGAGTCACTGTCTAACTGCTTCTTAAACAACTCAATTGATTTTGGGTCCATGGCCTTCTTGGACAGTGCATTCCACATACAGTATGCACAGTCATTTGCATCAAGAATATATTTCGCCCATAATGTACAACAACAA